TTTAGAGGTACCAGTCTTTTTCCACTGACTTTCTCCACTGTTCCCAGTGGAACAGACTTCTGTGGAGATGCCTGAGATTTTTAGAATGAGTCCAGGCCTAGTGTCACAGCTGGTATAAGATCCCATGATTCTGAGTGTGTTACTTGGACTGCTAGACTATGCTACCTCCGAAAAGCTCTGTGGATTTATAAAGCTGAATTGATACTGAATTTTTTCTCTCCTTCCCTTTAAAATAACCCCAATACATCCAGAAGCCTATTAATACGCATTTCAGTCTGGGATATATCAGAATGCAGTAGTAATTTAGGAGAAGAAAAGATCTATATTTTTTATACAACTTCCATTTATATCTTTGTTAATTCTTTTCTCTTTTTGAACTGTAAAAGATACCCAAAATAGGGACAAATGAAGGATGCAGTAAAGGCTTGACACACTTCAGTTCTTCAATTATATCAATCATAAGGGTAATAAAAACAATGCTATTACATGAACGAGTCTCCCCAGAACATGGAAGCCCTTGATCATTCTTTAATCTAGTATTAGATATACATGCTTTTTTGCTTTATCACTTTTTAAAAATACAAAGGTTTGTAGCATGTTGCTTGGCCTATGTGTCATGCATTGTCACAACATATTCTCTATTCTAAAAACTACGTAGTGTCAGAACAATTTATAAGGATGGCTGGAAGTGAATTAAGTACAGCAGCAGTATTACTCATGATTTCGACTACTTTCTTCTTGAATATTCAGGCATAGTTTCATTGAATGGTAGTCAAAGTACAAATGTAAAGGGCTGTTCACATAATTTACAGAATAAAGATGTACTGCAGATCCTCTTCAGCGTAACACACCAATGTTTTTAAATAAAGATTTGTAGCAGAAAAAGAATGCTTCATCTGCAGTGGTACAAAGGAGTTTGGCTCAAGTGAAGCTATAAGAAACAAATTTTATTGGCTTGCACATACGTAGATGTATCATGCATGGTCAAGAAAGTGCCAAGAAAGCTTTCACAACTTAGAGATTTTACAGGCTGGGGAAAAAAAAACAATAGTCAAGTTTAATTTTCATAGCTCTTCAAAAAAAAAAAAAAATATCATTATGCAATGGCACAGGAATTACACCTAGCTCGCTGGAAACGAGAACATTCAGCAGGTGCAATACTGAGTGCCCAGGAAATAATTAATGAAAAGTATACATAAAGATTACTGGAGAATGTATGCTCTATGCAGAAAAAAAGTAGCTTAAAGGAACTAGTTTATCCCCAGAACTTACAAATGATACAAGAGCAGTTAAGAAATTTATCCTGAGTGAAACATCTAGCAGGTTTCTTATATGGAATGATTCCGGACCACTGATACACATCAGTCAACACATGCCACCAACATGAATACCTTTACTCTGAGCTTTTCTTTATCATACATACTCAAACACTCATAGACTCTTCAGTGACTGTTGGCCTAAGAAATGCTTTGCTTTCATGCTGGTAACTCTTCCATTTTCCATGTCTGTATTACATTCTCAGCACACTTCTCCGTGCTGTACTTTACGATAGCTGGATTTTTGAGTGCCATGCAGTGACACTTCCATTCCTCTGCCAGCTCCCCCTTTGGAAGTGTGACAATGGACAGTATTGCTTGTCCCCTCCAGCACGCTCTCATTAAATTCCTTCCAAACTGAACTTTCAATGCTGTTCACATACACGTGTATACACACACACACACACACACACACACACACACACAGAATTTTATAAATTAACTGGTGATTTAATTTTATCAAAGTTGATGGTTCATAAACACTTACTATTGTGTGATGTTATCAAAGTTGATGGTTCATAAACACTATTGTGTGATATTTTGACACTACTTCTGTAGCTGTTATCACTGTGGTCATGTAGTAACTGAAAAGCTTACTTCCATCCTAAGTATATCTGGAATGTCATGTAAGTAAAATATTATGATGTTTAGTATGAATCAGCAAACAATGACTTTCAAATCACACTTAAAATGATGTGATCTTTCATTAGCGCATCCTTTCCTGCTCCTTCCTAGGCTCTCCAAGTCTCTAGCTCATCATCTTGTAACTGACAAATACAAAAATAAGTATCTCTCTGGGTTAAAAAAACTTATATATAAAATATACACACACAAACACACATGTACCTATGTGTATTATTTCTTCCCTGTTTCTGTGAATCAGGCATTTTTCTCTTTAAATCAATAAAGGCAAAGAGACAGATAGATAGATGAGACTATTACTATTATGGGAAAGAGCAGAACTAGAAATTAATTTTGCAGTATATCTAAAGGCAGTGACGCTAAGCAAGATGCATATAGCTGTTGACTGAGTCAGTGCTTATTTTGGCCTACGTACCTGAATTTGACACCAAGCATCCATATGTGTGTCCCCTCTAACGTAATATGCAATTTTACCATAAATATACTATATTTATGTAATAGCCCTTCTACTTTTAACTTGGCAACACAGGATGCAAAAACATCTTGTGATTATATTAATAAATACAACATCCCAGAAGGAATATCTATGTTCCAATAAATTTAGGTTGTTATATCCTGCTAACATTTGCAATTTACAAATCAAGCAGGGACTTATACCCTAAGAATTTTAATGCTTATGTAAATGCCTGAAAACACACGTACAGAGACAAGGTTTGTAATAGATGTTATAGGCACAGCCTGAACATTACAGTTTTTTAATTTTTTTAACTTCTAGGTAAGAACGCACAGCTAGGCTATCATAAAAATTTGTGCATAGCACAGAACTGCACTGAACACTTATTCAATCTAAACTATTTTAGATCAGATTTCTTGCTACTGACTCTCCTTCGGCAAAATGTTTCCTATCTGCTGCCCTTTGAATAGTATAAATATTCATGAGAAAGAGATATACAAAAGCTGTGTGGCCTCATGGTATTGCTGTTATGCTGCAAAGAACGCAACTCCTGAACTGATCAATACAGTTTCACTGACTACAAGATTTTCTCGTGTACCAAGCTAATACCCTAACCCTGTGCTTACATTTGCTTTGGAAATAAAACCAACATTTCTTATTCACATCAGCATGTGTTTGTGCACAGAGGAAGAGAGGAAACCTTGGTGCAACATGCATAAAGCAAAAACTCAGACCCTGAATTTTCAATACGGGCAAGTTAGGGGCTGTAACAGTCACACAGCTTTTACTGAGACAGCTGAGCATTTTTGCTGAGGTCATTTCAACAGGGAGCAGTGCAACAAGTAGAGCTCTGACAGCAGCAAGCAGCTATCGCACAGCACTTTTACATCTGGGAATTGCGTGGGGCACTGCAGCTAGTCACTGCAACGCCAGCATTTCCCACAAGGTGCAGGAGATACCTCTGGGATCTTATCCAGACGCAGACAAAACGTGCCCGTGGTCTACCTCCAGACGGCCCTGTGCACCTGAGGAGCCCTGTGACGGGAGCGGGTAAGCGAGACGTGACAGACCGGCGACACCACTCCTTGCGCAGCGCACCGATTCCCAAACCTGCCCTGACCCGGGCGGGTCACCGTCTCATCGCAGCTTCTCTGCTACGCGGTACGAGCTGGCTCCCGGGGCCGCCCACTTGAAAAACCCGGTCAGAAATACAGGAGCCTGCCCCGTCCCGACCGGCAGGGGCTGGGGCAGGGGCTGGGGCTGGGGCAGGGGCTGGGC